GAGAGAGAGAGAGAGAGAGAAGCTTGAAGAGACGTGAATGAGATGAGATTGAGAAGTAGAAAGAATGTGGAGGAGGAGAGAAACAGCACCGTCGCTCACTTTCAACAAAGTCGCTCTGTCGTGTGCTCGAGCATTGCAACGCTAGAATGCTGCCTCAGTTTGCTTACCAGAGTCAATCTTTGTTGATTGCAAGAGTAATATCCCTCTTTGTTGCTTCACAATGGCTGCCACATATTACTCTTGCAATCAACTAGAGCATATTTCTTTCGCAATCAGCTAAGAATCCTAAGATTAACTCTAGGGAGAGTGGTTACCCCTCCACCCTTCACACTCACACTGTCACATCCAGCTCACTGACAGCAAGAAAGTAGAAAGGGGAAAGAGAAAGTGTGCAAAGAAAGTATCTTGCCTGCTGATGCTCACATCCTTCTCTCCCCAAAACGAGAAGGATTTTTTTTTTTTTTTTTTTTTTTTTTTAAATACAAGACCACCACCACCCAGTGTTAGTGATGCTGATAAGAGCAGACACCACCACTAGCACCTGGGGAGAGGCTCCATCTATTGGTGGGGAGCATCACCTGCTGGAAAACGGGTCCAGCGTCCCATATACAGATTGAAATTAAAGTATATCCGAAGATCAATGTGGGAGGATTAACTTAACTCAAAGATTAACTCTCAAAATGAACTCTAACCCACTCGAATCCACTCAATCTACTTATAGATTAACTCGAGTCAGCTTTAGTGAACTCTTAATCATGCCTAATCATCTTTTTTATTTTTATTTTTATTTTTATTTTTATTTTTATTTTTATTTTTATTTTTATTATTTTTATTTTTTTTTAATATTTAATCACCTCTGACAATCTCTGATCACTTCTGATCAACTTGTGCAGACTACTCACCAGTTTTTTTTGCTGGTCCTGGCGGCCACGGCCACCTCTTGATGCCCCCTCACTTCGCCTTGAGGTAATAAAAGACTCGAAAATGAATTTTGCAGGGTACCCTTCGGGCTTTCTTTTTTTTTGTGGGGGGTGGGTGGGTTGCGTAGTTTGAGGCCAGTCTTCGAGACAAAGTACTATTGCCTCATTAGGTAGGTTTCGTTCACTTGTGATTGACAGGCCAACTTGCCAAGGTATCTTTTGGGAGGTGGCAGACGGTGCTAGACTGCTACCGTTAGAGCGAATGTGCTTGGAAGCAGCACTGCCCGGCTTGACCCGAATAGAACGTACTGTCATTTGACTGTAACGGGGCGAAATGATCGTACGTATGCAATGCTATGCATGCATTATCAGGGTGCGTTATGTTCGAGGGAAGACGGTAGTTAGCGGGCCAAGTGGCCGCGAGTGTGGGTAGGCAGTGCCAGCCATAGCTGGGCTGGCCCGGCTGGGCGCCTTCCTGGGAGGCTGGGAAGTGGAGGTGGCTCATGGGAAGGGATATCCTGGGAGGAGGCGGAAGGCCGCAGGGAGAAGGTGGTTGGTTGGCAAGGGGCATACCTGGTGGTCGCGAAGAGGAGCGTCAGCATGCTGCATTCTTCATTCAGGCATCCGTGGGAGCAGCATTGTCCTCTGCAGCATTTTACATTGGCATAGTATAGGCTAGGGTAGTAGAGAGAGTATAGGTGATCCCATAGGCTGGCAGTGAAGTTTGCGAGGACAGAGAACTACCATTTTTGTTGTATCGATCGCTGTGAGGCGAGATGAGGGCTTTTCTCCACCAAGAGGTTACACCATTGTCAATTCTTCTTGTGCTGTTCCCAGTGTCCAGTAAATCGTAGGCAGAAAGGCAGAAAAGGATAAGATTGGGGGGCTGTGACTGACTGTCTCGTCGGAGTTTCACTGTCTCATCACGAATGTAATATGTATGTATTACCCTGGGTATACCCTAGGTATACCCTACGTATACATTTGTAGGCTACCTTGCTGGGGAGGTAACCCCTGGGTAACCCCTAGGTATACCCTACGTATACATTTGTAG